CCAATCAGGTTAATACAAGGATGTGACGTTTCCATCTTTTTTAGTGGCCGAATAGTATTCCATGGTATACATATACCATAGCTTGTTAATCCATTCCTGGGTTGGTGGGCATTTAGGGTGTTTCCACATTTTGATGATTGCAAATTGAGCTGTGATAAACAGTCTAGTGCAAGTCTAGTGTCAATCTTATAACAAAAATATTTTTTTCTTCTGGGTAGATGCCTAGTAATGGGATTGCAGGAACAAATGGGAGATCTAATTTGAGTTCTTTGAGGATTCTCCATACTTCCTTCCAAAAAAGATTGTATTAGTTTGCAGTCCCACTAGCAGTATAAAAGTGTTCCCTCCTCTCTACATCTACACCAACATCTGTAGCTTTGAGACTTTCTGAGCCATTCTCATTGGGGTTAGTGATATCTCAGGGTAGTTTTGATTTGCATTTCTCTGATGATTAGGGACGATGAGCATTTTTTTCATGTTTGTTAGCCAATGGTCTGTCTTCTTTAGAGAAGGTTCTATTTGTGTCTCTTGCCCAGTGATACATGGACTTGGGGGCTCTTTTTTTGTTGATTAATTTGAGTTCTTTGTAGATCCTAGTTATCAAGCTTTTATCCAATTCATAATATGCAAATATCTTTTCGCATTCTGAAAGTTACCTTTGCTTTGGTTTTTATTTGCTTAGCTGAACAGAAGCTTTTCAGTTTAATTAAGTCCCATATGTTTATTTTTGTTTTTGTTGCAATTGCCATGGAAGTATTCTTCATAAAATATTTCCCCAGGCTGATATCTTTGAGCATTTTCCCCATACTTTCTTTGAGGATTTTTATTGTTTCATGCCTTAGATTTAAATCTTTTATCCATCTTGAATCAATGTTTGTAAGTGGTGAGAGGTGTGGGTCCAGTTTCTGTCTTTTACATGTTGTTATACAGTTTTCGACTCCATTTATTGAATACCATGAATTTAGGACAGTGTTAGCACTGAAAAGTTAATATACTATGATTATTGAGAGGAGAGTTAACATTCTATTAGGACAGTCAGAATTGTTTTTTGGAGAATGTGACCACAGAGAGGAGTTTGAAGGGTGGGTATGGCATTGGCAAGGCTGGCTGGCTGGAAGGTTGGGATGGGCTCCAGGGAGATCCTGTCACTTATTGCTGGGCTGAGCCTAGGATTTGCAAGACAAAGAGAGGAAGGCAAGTCTGGAAAGGCCGTTTTTCTTTGAGACAGAATCTCAAGCTGTCATCCTGGGTACAGTTCCGTGGCGTCATAGCTCACAGCAACCTCAAACTCTTAGGCTCAAGCAATCCTCTTGCCTCATATTTTCTATTTTTTAGTAGAGATGGGGGTCTTATTTTTGTTTCGGCTGGTCTTGAACTCGCGAGCTCAAGCAATCCACACACCTTGGCCTCCAGAGAGCTAAGATTACAGGCATGAGCTACTACGCCTGGCTGGGAAGGATTTTTGAGAGTCCTGAAATACTAAGTGAAAATTTGTGCTGAACTGTGTCTACAATGTGGTGATCCTAAGCTGGAGGAAATAATGGGACCTGTTTGGGGGGCTGGGACAATTAGGCTGTGACAAGAAGGAAATCAGAATTTGCATCAGTGATGCAAATGAGAAGGTGGTGGCCCTTCCTCTATTCATACAGTCAACAGGCATTTCCATGGCATGTATGGGGCACCCTCCTGGGCACTAGGTGTACTAGGGTAACCTCCTGAAGGTTAGAGCCTAGTGAGAGGGTTAGACAGGCATTCACACAGGTGTTTCACTGAAGTTCAATGAAGGAAGGCACAGGAGCTATGACAAGGGGGTGTCTGATCGGGGTCATGTCTTTAAAGAAGCAAGGCATAAGCTGAGCCGTGAAGGATGAGGAAGAATCAGCCAGCAGATAGAGCTGATCAGGCAAAGGGCTAAGATCTCTTCCCAATCCATTGGGAAGAGAGAAAGAAGTGTTGTAGCTGGAAGCTACAACAGAGTTATATCAAAAGGAGGCTGAGTGAACACTGCATATGCTGACAGCGTACACCCCAGACATGGATGGATCTCACAGAGAGAGGAGCCAGGCACAAAGGCACACACACTGTGTGAGTCCATTTATGGGAAGTTTAAGGTAGAATTTATATGAATGAACCAATCTGTGGGAATAGGTTTCAGCATAGTGGCTACTTTGGGGCTACTGGCTGAGAGGGACATGAGGAAGCCTTCTGGTGGGCTGGAAATTGTCTACATCTACATCTGTGATTCACCTACCTTTGGTAGGTAGGTCACTCTGGTTATTGATTCACACATACTATGTAGGAGTGATATGTATGCCTTGGAAATGAAAATAAAAGTTCTGCTGTCTAACATTTTTAAAAAATATATATGCTCAAACTGCAATGTTGAGGGGGAAAATAGGATATAAAATTATATATATACTATCTTGATTTTCAAAGGAATTATTAATACAATATTGATTTTTGAAATTCAGACAAAAACAAGCCACACTTTAACATCGGTTGTTTCTGGGGGTGGGATTTCAGCTGACTGTTGTGAAGACCACTAGCAGAGTTACAGAAATACTGATAACGATGGTTAAGAGACCAGCCAAACTCCCTCAGAACAGAACAAAAGGTGAACCAGTTTCCTCCGCTGTGAAAAGTGATGCCTATCTGCCCAGGTTGTTTGGGGTCTAAGTGGTAGGAAGCATCAGGTTGTTCCCCCAGTGCCCCAGCACTGGCACAGTGAGCGCTCAGTAAGAGCCAGTTACTGCTACTGAAGCAAACCTCAGAGACTGAGGCAAACGAAGCTGTCCACATGTACACTGGCTGTCCCTCTTTTCTGGTCATCTGCAGAGATGAAGGCTAGCAAAGGAGATTTGAGCTAGAGGGTGAAGTTCAAGAAGGGCCTACAGACGAATGTGAAGAGGGACTCCTGGGCAGTCACAAGCCTCCACTCAGCTGAGTGGAAGCTGAACGTTTCAGCATGAGCCCTCTAATTCCTTCTCAGAGGGAGAAGACAGTTAAATATTGTGGAGTTGGAATTGAAAAGAGGGGATTGTGGTTGTAATGGGAAGACAAGGAAATGAAATTTCAGGAAACTGCATGGAGTAAAGTTGATCTTATTAAATCTTGAATCTGCAGATGATGGTGTGGATTTGGAGAGAAGGGAACACTTGCACTGCTGGTGGGACTGCAAACTAATACAACTGCTATGGAAAGAAGTATGGAGAATTTTCAAATAAAAGTGGACCTTCCATTTGATTCTACAATCCCATTACTAGGTATCTAACTAGGAGAAAAAAGTCATTTCTACACAATGACATTTGCACTAGAATGCTTATTGCAGCTCAATTCATAATTGCCAAGATGTGGAAGAAAGCTAACCCAGGAATGGATTAGCAAACTGTGGAATATATATACCATGGCGTACTCTATTCAACCACAATAAAAGATGGAGACTTTACATCCTTTTTGTTCACCTGAAAGGAGTTGAGACACATTCTTCTTTGTAAAGTATCACAAGAATGGAAAAACCAAGTATCCAACGTACTCAATACTAATATGAAATCAATATATAAACAATTACATGCCCACATGAAAAACACAAGTATAGTCTAGTAGAAGGAAGAGGAAGAGGGTAAGAGGAAGGGTGATTGGCAGGATCTCACCCAATGTGCACAATGTGAGGGTGTTCAGCATGCCCCCTCAGGAAGGGGTCAACTACACCTTGAACTTTACCTTAGAAATGAAAATAATGTAGCCTAAACATTTATACCATTCTGTCAATCTGAAATAAAAAGAAATAAAAATTAAAATAAAAATGTAATGTATTAATCAAAAACAAGTTGATCTTATTATGACTACGTATAGTTGTGGGTACAATGTAGAGATGACATGATGTTATTTAAGGAAATCACAAAACCCTCATCACTTGCCTTTCTATACAGAGATGCATTCTGTCCTTGCAACATCAGTGAATGTTATGACACAACACACACATGCTACTTGAACACGTGAAAAAAGTTTTTCTTAATTAAAATTAACTCTTCTAGAAACCAATGGACCCACGGCTCCTCAGGTGGAATTACGGGAAATTTAATAGGCATTTACCCAGTGATCCAGGAAGCATGAAATACACATGTCCCCCAGCATGTGCATCTTTTCCTTCCTGCTCAAGGAGACAGGCTTCTGATATTTAATATTATTGGTGAGCAAAATCATGTTTATTGCGTAGGCCACAAGGTACTAAAATTGACTTCATTTAAACATGAATCAAAAAGAAATCACAATTAAAATAAAAACCTGGCTGTGTTATGTATAGAAAAACCACAATTCTGAGAAAGGAGGCATAGGGTTTTTTTTTTTTTTTCAATAGTAAGCTTCCAAAAATCGATATTGTGAAGCCTAACTGAATTTAATGTTATTTTCTCAGTGTATGGGGAGGGAACTGTGTCAACATTTTCAGCCATGTCTCTGACTGCAATCCAATTAAAAGTTGCCCAGAACAATATAGGGGATTCTGAACAACAATCTCTAAATAAAAATAATGATATTAATAATAATTATATAAGCTATCTTTTTTCTTAATACTTTTTTACATAGAAGGTATGGTGCTAAGCATTTTGTATTTATTGGCTCAAAGTAAAGCAATAATTTTATTACCACCCATTGTGTGGGTAAGAGGGGGACCAAATGCTCAGGTCTGCTCTTGATTTTTAGATGGTAGAGAGGGATTTTAACCTCTGTGCCTCTCCAGCTATCAGATTTCTTACCTACTGCCAGCTCAGCTCAAAGTTACAGTCCACAAGAGATGAACAGAAAAGACATTGTTTGGTGGCCTGGGGGAGGGATCTAGGCTACAACTCAGGATGTCATTTCATGTGTTGTAATTGGAAATGTCATCTTGCCTCTCCCTGTTCCCAAACCACTGAGTAAGTGAAGCTGAGTCACCTTCTTTAACATTTCCAAAGGGCCTGCATGTCCCCAGAAACCACAGTTCAGAGGGAAAGTCCACTCACCTTGGGAAGAGGGTAGAGATGACAGAAAGGTTGGCCGCTGTCCTGTTTACAAAACTCCAGAGCGTGACACACCACATCAGCATTCATCTGTGCACTAAGCCTGGAGGGAAATGGGACAAAACAAAGACTGTTCACATCTCTCAGCCATTAGGAAATAGAATCTTTATCAAACAAAGGTAAACCTCTGGAATGGATTCTAATACCCTCAAGTCCTTCTTACGCCATGGCCTTTGAGCCCAGACCCATGTGGCTGCTGGATCATAACGATTTCCTGCCTTGTCGCTGTCTCCTACATTTAGAATAAGGTCCTGGGGGCAGGCAGGGCAGCACTGAGTAGTGAGGCAGCCTCACTCAGGAGCACTGTGATTCTTTTCAGAAGCCACAAATAAAACCAGGAAAGGAAAAATGGACAGAGGTATAATTAGATGGGAATAATATATTTACTTATTTATTTTAGAGACAGGGTCTTGCAGTCTCTAACGCTGGAGCAGCTGTGGCATTATCATAGCTCACTATAGCCTCAAATTCTTGTGCTCTAGTAATTCTCTTTCCTCAGACTCCTGAGTAGCCACTATGCATGGCTAATTTTTTTTTTTTTTTTTTTTGAGTAGAGATAGGGTCTTTCTATATTGCCCGGGCTGGTCTAAAATTGTCAGCCTCAAGTGCTCCTTCTACCTCGGCCTCCCAAAGTCTTTTTGAACCAACACACCTGGCTAAGAATAATATTTTGAAGTTTCTTGAGCCTTATAGTGAAAAATCATTATGATACAGTCTTAAACATTTAAAATTATCTTCCTAGGCATAACCCAAATCATCTCTTCTCCTTTAAAATGAACATATTTCTTATCCTTGCAGAAGAAATTACAATACGATTGACTAACTTAATTCTTTCCCTGGGGATGGTGTAAGGGTAGTGTTCTCCAAACATTTCAGTTCATATCTAGATTTGAAGGGGCTGAAACAAACCTTCCCTATCCATTTTATCTTTGCCATCCTCCCAAACTCTTCTTACCAATAAAAATGAGTTTAATGTGTTGGTCTGAAGGAAGGAACAAGTAAAATATAAACTTCCAGTTCATTTTCTAGGCAAATTATTGAGTCAAACCAAAATTAAACGAAACCAACAAAAATAAAACCTCCAGCAACACCAATTGGTAATACCTGGAGATTAACCATTGAATTATGTGGAGGGACAGTGATGGATTCTAGAAGATACTTTTGAGGAGATTTCTCCCCAGCTCACATTATCACTTGACTGTTCCCATTTGCCCAGGGTGGGAGGTACCCGTAGTAACTGTGTTTGTACTCCCTAATAGTGGTTAGACTGCATTATATCACGTTGCAGGCAGGACCAATCAGATGCTCTCTTAAGAAAATTTGGAATTAGTGTTATAAAATTTGCCTTCAGTCTGGGCTACTCTTGGCATACAGGAGCGATGGTAATCTGGGCCATAGTAGTCATTCCCTGCCAAGTGAACTGAGTTATCTGTAAAGCTAGTCTGCAGGTTGGGGTCCTGAAGGCAGAACCTAGAAGATGTAACAAGGAAGCCCCTGGGTTGCTCTTCAGCCTCTTTCAGAGGCCTTGGAATTTTCCTGTCCTCTAGTTCCATGATATGTATTCTCTAGTTTCTGTATAACAGATCCATTCCAACCTCTCACACATCCCACAATGATGACGTCTGCAACTGCTAAGTTATTACCACCTTTCTTCTTCTTTCCCTGACCCTCCTCCTCTTCCTCACCTTTTTCCTTTTGCATAAGCAAGGTAAAGTTGTGCCTTTTTCTTGTGACTAAAGGTAGCCACAGCTCACATGTGGCCCAACCCTGGAAAGCCAGTGGTCGCTGTTGGAACATGTGGCCTCGTGAGCTTGGGCCTGAGTGTAAGTCACTGGATCAACTCTCAGCTGCACTCCTGTCCCTGTTTTATTTCTCTGATACCCATTTCACAGACACAAGTAGGTTGCCCACCCCCCTAAAGAAATTATATACCCGGACATGCAGAGTAACATGAGATTTAGAATGGTAAGACAAAAACAAAAGGCAAACAAGACCCAACAAAACCACACTGGCTTTCACTTGGTGAGTAAGCAACAGTTTCAATGGTTGCTGAACATCCAAATAGCTTTTAAAATCTCTAAAAATTTTATCTTTGGCCCCTCCAGATGCCAGGAGTGGCCCAAGTGTTTGTTTTTCTCATTTCCTTCATGCACCTTCACGCAGGAAGAACCACCCTGTGTTAATGAAAATGTATTTTATCAAAGTCCATCAGGGAAGCAGGGTAGCCTAAAAAATCTCCAGATGTTTTGAAGGTCACCAGTATGTGAAAACATAAGCTGGGATCACAGTTCCCAAATTTTGTTGCAGCTGAATGAGACTTAACAGTGTGGCTGTCAAGACGGTCTATCACCTTTTTACTCACCTATGAGGGAGGCGCAGAGTTCTTTAAGAGAACAGCTCCCTTAGCTCCAGGGTTTCTTTGCAGGAGGTTGGGGGCTGGGGTGGGGTGGCTGGATGGGAATGTAACTGAAGGTGTAAAAAGAACCACCTCTTCTAAGCAAGCTGCTTGTTACAGATAAAGTCCATTACCAAACTAATGTCTACCAAGGGTCAGTAAATCAGGAGAGGGTGGCTGTTCCCACACATCTGTTCTTCACTTAATGGCTCATTTATTTAACTGATGACTGCCATCTTTATGGAAGTCTAGTATTCAGTGGGCTCCAAAGAGTGATAAATAGGGCTTATGTTAATGTTTGTTTTTAACCTCAGGCCAGGATCCCATCTGTGGCAATCCAGAACCACCAGAACTGACTTGTATAATATCCAAGACCTCTTCTCTTTCCCCCTTAACTAGAGCACGATTTCAAACATGTGAACTTTGAGCGGGGGTGGTGGGGTGGGGGGGGTGGGGGGTGTTCTGAATCACTGAGTCACTGAGGGGCTGGTTCTCCGAGCTGGGAATAAAAGAGGGGAACTGAGCATGTGGAGTCCCTCTAGGGTCCTCTAAGGTAGAGATTCATCATCAAAAGACTTCAAAAGTGAGACGTACTTCTTTGAATAAAAAGAGAGAATGTGGGATCATGTAAATCCACACAGGTTTAAGAACATTAGAATGTCCCAATTCTAATTCATAAGAAGTGGCAATGTAGTGCGTGTGCTCCTGACCAACCTTGGGACAGAAGGCCTGGACTACGCATGATTTGTGAAAACTTCAGGGACTCTTCAAATCCAAAAGAACTATTTCCATCTAACACTGTTTTCTTATTCCCAGAGCAGCAAGTCAGGCCCAAATGGTTACTTTTTTTTTTTGGCAGTTTTTGGCCAGGGCCGGGTTTGAACCCACCATCTCTGGTATATGGGGCTGGCGCCCTACCACTTGAGCCACAGGCACGACCCAAATGGTTACATTTTTTAAAAGATTTTTGCTTTGGAGCTGTTTTAGGTTCCCAGCAAAATTGAAAGGAAGCTACAGAGACATTTCATATAGCCCTGCACTGTACACATGTAGGCTGTTATACCCACACCCACCACCAGTACACTCTTTAAAATTGGTAAACATACCTGACACTTCACTGTCACTCAATGTGCATGGTCATGGTTTACATTAAGGTTCACTCCTGGGGTTGCGCATTCTATGGGTTGGACAAAGGTATGATGACGCGTATTCACCAGTATAGTATCATACAGATTAGATCATCACCGCCTTAGAAATTCTCTGTGCTCTGCCTATTTACCTCTTCTCACCCCTAACCCCTGGCAGTCACTGATCTTCTCACTGTTTGTGTAATTTTACCTTTTCCAGCATGTCATGTAGTTGAAATCGTATAGTAGGAAGCCTCCCTTGGTAATATTCATTGCAGTTTACTCCCTGTCCTTTTGTGATTCAATAGTTCATTTCCTTTTATAGTGAATGATATTTCATTGCATAGTTGTACCACAGATTGTTTATACCATTGGACATCATGGTTACTTACAGTCTCTGATAACTATGAATAATGCGACTATAAATATTCATGTGCAGGTTTTTGAGTAGACATAAGTCTTCAGCTCATTGGAGTAAATACCCAGAAGCACGATTGCTGGCTTGTACAGAAAGTCTATATTTTGTTTTGTAGAACTATCAATTATTTTAGGGTTTTGGATGTTCGCCTTTCTCCTTGCAGTCTTCATTTGTAAGCATCTAACAGCACGTAATATTAAGCATCTTCTCGTAGCCTATTTTCCACCTGTGTATCTTTTTTGGTGATGTATCTTTGGCCCATTTTTTAGCTGGGTAGTTTGTTATCTCATTGTTGAGTTTAAGAGGTTTTCTTTGTTGCTGTTATTGTTGTTATATTCTGGATAACAAACTTTTTTTTTTTTTTGGCTTATAAACATTATAATTTTATTTTTCACAGTTTTTGAGGTAACTAACTCCAAGATCAAAACACTGGAAGATTTAGTGCCAGGTGAGGGCTTGTTTCAAAGGCACCTTCTAGTCATATCTTCATATGGTGGAAAGAGCAAAATAGTTTCCTGGGTTCTATAGTAAAAGGGACACTGATCTCTTTCATGGGGGCTCCGTCTAATTACTTCCCCGAAGTCTCATCAACTAGTACAATCACATTAGTGATCGTGTTTTTTGTGCATTTGTTTGTTTTGAATCAGGCTTGCTCTGTCCTCAAGATTGGAGTTCAATGGCAGGATCACAGCTTGCTACAACCTCCAACTCCCAGGCTCAAATGACTCTCCTGACTCAGCCTCTGGAGTATAGGAACTATTGGCACATGCCACTGTGAAGAATAACAACCTCCATGAGATATGTCTTTTGCAAATAGTTTCTCCAAGTCTATGCCATGTGTTTTCATTTTCTTGACAGTGTCTTTGCAGAACAAAAATTATAATTTTAATGATGTCTGCCCAGCTTATTAGTTTTTCTTTTTTTTAAAGGATTATACCTTTGTTATTCTATCTAAAAAGTCCTCACAAAACTCAAGTTTATCTAGATTTTTTTCTGACATTATCTTTTAGGAGTTTTATAGTTCTGCATTTTACATTTAGTTCAGTGATCCATTTTGAGTTCATTTTTTGAAGGGTGTGAGGTCTGTGTTTAGATTCACTTTT